TAACCATAGAACACTTTCATCACCTAATCTATAACAGTCTTAACTCAAACTCACATTCATTGTGAATTTTTATCGTAATACTTTCGATTGATGAATAATAGCCATTCTGCCATTCAATAAATGAATAAAAAATAGGTTCTGCCATATAATTATATATGATTTAATTCAACGGTAATATATAGGCATATTGTCAAATCTTCGATTATGGAGGTTGATTATAGTTAGCCTTCGTACAACGAAGTTTTTGCTTGTAATATCACTCGAGAAGATTACAATAAATGTTCACATTGAATTTGAATTTGAGTTAAGACTATGATAGATTAGGTGATGAAAGCGTTCTCTGGTTACCAGTTCTGATACTACCTGGGTTCGAATCCTAGTCATGACTCTTGTTTTTCTTCTCTGTGTTTCATTCTTTTCGAATGATGAATAACAGCCGTTCTACCGTTTGAAAAATGAATAAGTATTCAAATATAAATTCAAGTATTCATCTATTAAACTATTGAAATATTCAACTATTACACTGTACAAATATTCCAATTGTCAGTTCAACTTCTCAAATATTCAACTTATTGGTCCAATTATTGAAGTATGAAAGCATTCAAGTAATCATTTATTCAAGTAATCAGGTATTCAACTATTCAACTTGAAGGATCAAGCCGAAATGCACATGCACACATCTCTCTTGATGCGTATGTGTGTTTGCATAGCACTCATATCAAAAGACTCGTGAGTGTTTCTGTTTGTGCAGCACTTATATCGAGCGAATTTTGTTTGTTTTCACAGCACCCCTATCGAGAGAGCTGTGAATGTGTGTTTGCACGATACCCATATCGACAGACATGCGCGTGTTTACGAGGCACTTGATTATTGAATAGTTGAAAACTTCAATGATTCAATTATTGAGTAGTTAAATTCAACTTTCACGTTTGATATGTATGCGAGAGCTGCTCCTAAATATTTTTTCTGAATTTTTTTTTCAGATTAAATGAGAGAGCATATTACGAAACTCATGAATCCAAAATATTAAGATATTCTCACGTACTTGTAAAAAAATGTCAGCGATCATAGTCCTTCATTTTTTATGGTTGGGCCATAAAAGTAAAAGAAAACTGTGTGTTTTACATTTTGGTGATATTTTAAGACTTTCTCTGTCACCGCTCATTGATTTGAGGTCGGGAAGGTCTCAAAAGATGCGAAAGAAGAATTCGCCAGAACACGAGCTAAGTCAATGGTCATTACAATAGCTATAAGTAATCGAGCGTGCCTCGACAAAGAAGACGATTCTATGGTTTATGAATATTATCTAGCAAGTAACTTGCCTCCAATATTGTTGAATTTCAGCATTCCAAAAAATTAAACTAGATTCTGAAAGCATTTCAAACGTTGCATTGTTTGAGATAGTATCCACAAGACAAAAGACCTGTAAAATCATACAAAGCTGTCAATATTGAGTTCGTATTTAGTATTTCTTTTGTATTATTATTACAGCTCATTTGTACTCTCGCCTAAGAATTTTTTTAAGAAAATTAGACAGTGGTACTTCTCGGCATCGTTTTTTTTTATACAAAATATATCTAATCTAATGTAGGTTCTTATGCTGATTTCGAATATATGATCTATTTTACTCTAAAAATGAACTATAATAATGAAAATTATTAAAAACAAGCGCAATTTTAGCAGTTTTATATGACTTTCAGACTAGCTTGCGAAGAAGTTCGATTTTCTCAACATAAAAACAATTTTTCTTACGAAAAACTCGATAGGCTAACCATGCTTGACCTTTTTTTAAGCTTTATAAAGCGTATATTCAAGTAAATAGCATTTACATGTTCAATTTTTGATGCTGATCATGAAGCTGAAGTCATACTTTTTTTTGGAACAAACCTGGTCTACATAGTGATCAATTTTATCACTGATGTGGTCCATTTTGCAGCGAATTCTTGGATGCATCTTCTGATATCTTCCCCTAAC